TATATATATGTGTGTGTGTGTGTTTTCCGATGGTTTTAGGCGACCCCTGTGAAAGGGTCGTTCAACCCCCAAAGGGGTTGCGACCCACAGGTTGGGAACCGCTGGTCTAGAGGAAAGCCTCTAAGCTTCTGGTGACCAGAAGTGAAATGCATGTGAGTAGTAAATGACACAGGGAGAAATGAGAGTCGAGAAGAACTGGATTTTAACAGTTTGATAACTTCCCAGCCAGAACCAGGCATTTTTCCTCATCCTTTGCAGTTCTGTCTCACTAATGACCCCTTGTCCACTCTTGTCCTTGGTTCTGTAACATCAGAAGAGGAACAACCAGGGTGACTCCTACAGACTAATCTGATGCTCTAGTTCACCTTGGTGGCTATGCAGTGGGAGCCACGTACCAGTACTTCAGCAGTTGGCCTGGGTGGATGGGGGGCCGAGGCCCAGAGCACCTTCTCTGCACAGTACTTCCTGCCACATGACTATCTTTACCCCACCTGGGAGGAGCTATCAAATGATTATTTCCTCAGATTCATTTTCCATCTCATCAGTGGAAGAATGGTGGAAGGCTACAAGGCTAGGATACACAGGCACCTGGAGTTTTATGACATGAAGGTATCAGAGTTTGGGATTAATGGGCCTCAGAAACATTGACAATTTAATTACATAAGTATTGAGTCCAAGTTGTCATATAGAACATTCTTAGCAGGGCTCCTACCCTAATCCTCTTGCTTGACTATTCCCAAATCACCCTAAGTCCTCTCTCATCTGCCTTCCTCTTCCCCCACATCTTTAACTCCGACAGTGGTCCCCATTAAGAGAGTACTAATAGTTGGCACTTATCTCTGCCCCCCCCCCCCCAAACTTCTTTTCCTCCTGCTCACCTCTACAGCATACCCATAAGGCAAAGGTGATAGACTGTTAAGAACAGCAGATACAGAGGATAGAAATCACATGGGCCAAAATTTCCTAATAGTGGTAGTAATATTTATAGATTCAGAGAGCATCCCTGTATAGAGAAAAAGCTTGACAGAGCCCACCATAAGAGGCATGTAATCATTCTAGTAAAGACAATGTGATTGACCTTTGTCAGGCATTTAAAACCATCTTATCATATACTCATTAGTGTAAAATATACTATTTTATGTTCTCCCGAGGGGTCCCAGACGGCGAGAGGGCACAGGCCGGGCTGAGGGACCCCCCCCCCCCCCCCCCCACGCCACAAACTTCTTTTCCTCCTGCTCACCTCTACGGCATACCCATAAGGCAAAGGAGATAGACTGTTAAGAAGAGCAGATACAAAGGATAGAAATCACATGGGCCAAAATTTCCTAATAGTGGTAGTAATATTTATAGATTCAGAGAGCATCCCTGTATAGAGAAAAAGCTTGACAGAGCCCACCATAAGAGGCATGTAATCATTCTAGTAAAGACAATGTGATTGACCTTTGTCAGGCATTTAAAACCATCTTATCATATACTCATTAGTGTAAAATATACTATTTTATGTAACTGACCTGGTCCTTTCAGCTGAGAAATATGCTCTGGTATTGTATCATCATCCTAAGAAGACAGGTGAGGTGGGAAGAAATAACATTTCAAACGTGAAAAAGAAATGCCTTTTGCAAAAAAGCTACATCTCTACTTGGAGATGGATTGGGTACACAGGGTTTTGACATTTCTCTTTCCCTTACTGAAAAGAAAATGAGGAAAAAGCAAAATATAAATGAAACTGAAATTTTTCCCGAGAATCTTCTCAAGAAGTATATGAAGAAGAAAATAGTACATTAAAAATGGTCTCCCCTTATTAGTAAACATGGTTAAGTTGGGAGAATTTTAAAAGATCCAGGAGTCCAGCCGGTGTGGCTCAGTGGCTGAGCACCGAGCCATGAACCAGAAGGTCACTGTCTCAATTTCCTGTCAGAGCACATGCCCAGGTTGTGAGCTTGATCCCCAGTAGGGATGTGCAGGAGGTAGCCAATTGATGATTCTCTCTCATCATTGATGTTTCTATCTCTCCCTTTCCCACCCTCTCTCAGAAATCAATAAAAACATTTAAAAAATAAAATAAAAAGATCCAGGTGGTTCCCTAAAGAAAATGTCTATTTACAAAAGATTATAGAGAAAATTTAAGATTAATTTGATTAACAAGTTATTACATTATGTCTTGGTTTGTATCTAATTTTTAAAATATGAGTAAAGAAAAATGTCTGATCTATATATACTAGTGGCCCAGTGCACGAAATTCGTGCATGGGGGCGGGGGCGGGGGCTGGTGTCCCTCAGCCTGGCCTGCACCCTCTCCAATCTGGAACCCCTCGGTGGATGTCCCTACAGGGATTGGGCCTAAACCAGCAGTCAGACATCCCTCTTGCAATCCAGG